ACCTGCAAAATTTTACAATGGGTTATCTAGAGAACAAAAAATACAATTTCTGGTGTTATGATTTTATTGAAATAATTAGCCCGTGTTTTCAAATAACAGATTTTGGAGTATTTTTTTGTCATGTTGGATTGTTGAATTACCTTTTTACCCTAAGGAAAAAATTCAGTAACCATGTTTAATTTGCAGAGCACCAGAGATCATACTGGGATTGCCGTTTTGTGAAGCCATAGACATGTGGTCGTTAGGGTGTGTGATTGCAGAGCTGTTTCTTGGATGGCCACTGTACCCAGGAGCACTGGAATATGACCAGGTAGTAGAATAAATTTTACAAGCATATGCATACTTTCTGCAACTTAAGAATGTCAGATCAAATGAAATGTTGATAGCATCCCCTATTAAGTAGTATTTCTTCAAGTCGGTTCAATGCTTTTTATTTAGTCTTATTGATTGTCCTAGAAACATAAATCCTGTTTCTAGACCAAACTGTATATTGTGCTGCTTTTCTGAATTACAATTTCTCATCTTTTTTTTTCTGTCTTGCAAAATAAATGTTATTATTGAAGCTGGTTTTTTTTCTGATGGAATCCAGAGTTTGTGGCCACTATCAGTGCATTGTAATCTCTCTTTCACTTGCCATGAACGAGGTTGACTCTGGAATGTCTGCTCAGATGTCAGGATTAGTCGCCTTCTGAATACTTCCTCATGCTTTCTGGAAATCCAGCATAGCTCAGAGATTTGAGAGCCTATGCTTCATGAGGAACGAGAATCAACTGTTGCACTAATACTGTATAGATGCAATGGTAAAGCTTGAAGCTGTTGAAGCTGTGCCTTTGCTTTGTTGGAGTTTTCAACTACTGACACCATTGGCATTAGTGAGCTGACTTAAAAAAAAGCCAAAGTGATTCCAGTGAAAGATGTAAAACATTTCCTATTTAAAACACTTGATAGAGAAGTGTCTAATTTTCCAGCATTATGTGGAAATTTAGAAGGAATGTGATCAGCATTCTGACTATCCCTGCCTGGTTTTGAACTTTGAAAGTGAAGAAATCTGAAAATCCCAGATGTTAACAACACTGGCTTATGCATCTTTGATTCAACATTCAGTTTAGGGGCAGTTCCTCCAGCATGTTGTTTAGCTTATTCAAATCCTGATCTTCATGTGGTGGGCTTTTGGCTCCCTATGCTTACAGATCAGGCCTACTGTTCTAAAAATCCTTTTGTTAAAATCACTGTCAAGGGATATATTGATTTTTGTGTTGATTTTGGTAGTAGTTCATATTTCAGTTTCCTTCATTTACACAAAATTCAATATTTCATGGGTAGGAAGTAAGCTATGAGTGGAACATGAGTTGAGGCCTTGATGCATTTAGAAGACCTTTGTGTAGGGCATTGCTGTTAAAATGGAGAACAAAAGAGGAAACAACTAACCACCATATAATTCATTATGTTCTTTAAGGAAAAAGTGAAGGCATTTGTTCTTGGAAAGAATCTGTAATACTGTCTCAAAAATTTCCATGAACTTGTTTCTTATTTTGAAAGAAACTGCAGGAGAAGATCTGGACCTTCAAAAAAAGTGCCAAAATATGTAACTTCCAGAATTACTTTCACTTTTGACCCCGTACTGCTGTTAAGTAGCTGTTAAAAGTGATGCTACTGTGGGTGAGGAAGGACCTGTAAGCCCAGTTCATGGTCTTCTGATCATGGTCTCACATATAGTCAGATAGTGCTTCAGGATGTGGAGCGTGGCTTTGGACCACATCTTCAGTCACTTATGATGCAGCAGGAGTTTGAATGGTGGAGAATACTTCCCATGTCATGATTCTTTCTTCAAATTAACTTGTGATTTGTCACAATGGCAGCAGCCCAGATTGTTAACGTGTGCCAACGGGCTTACGTAGCTGTGAGCCTCTGACTTCTGTACAGAGAGATGTAACAGTGTAAAGCTCAATCTCATGATTATGAGGGTGGTTTTTTTAGAATAATATGGAGTCTCATTTGAAAAGAAAAGACCCCCCTGCACTGGAACCATCTAGTTGTGTACGAAACCCAGGCAGACGAAGGCAGTTTAGTACAGTGTGCAGAGCACCTACCTTCATAGTGCTCGTTGGCTCATCTTTTCTCAGTTTTGGAGAGCCAGGTCCTTAAGCCAGCATATTGCTGTCACTTGTTCCTTGCGGTTGTAGACCCAGGGCCAACATGGCTCGACCTCTAGATACTGCTGGACAGTGCAAGTAAACAGCGTTGTCACCAGTGACAGCCACCTTCCAAGATGCTGTACTTCATGCAAAGGACTGCATGGATTAGGGGTTAATCTTGATGCCCATAAAATTTTCTGCTTGCTTTACAAGTGAATACTGAGTTTAAAAGATGTTTAGTTAAAGACAGACCTATCATTCAAGTTTGTTGGAAGCATCGGTTAATAACTCATCTAGCAACTTGTCTGATCTTCGTGTCAGAGAAGTCGTGGTGGAAAAGGAGCCATAACCTCCTCTGCGCCAGCGGGAATTTCCTTACTTTACTCAGCCTTGTCATTGTGCGCAAGCAGGTTTCCAAAACTTGCTTCAGAGAAGTTTCATTCAGGGTTTTCCTCAGTGTACACGAGTACAGCAGTCGTAGGAGATGGCTCCCAAGGAAATTCCTTTCCTCCTGCTATGTGGTGGGTGCCACCAAGTCGACAAACAGGCAAGGGCTTTGTGCTGCATTTCCCCCTGTCCCCCTGGCACGTGGCAACCAACACGCTAGCCCTTGGAAGGAAGCTCTCAGTTACTATACTCATTTGTGATTATATCCAGTAACAGCTGTACTCAGTGGAAAATACCCATGTCTTCTGAGCTTTAATACGCATTAAAAACAGGCACAGGTGCTTAACTGCTAAATTTTTGAATAAATACATTGTCTCTCCCTTCCCACCCCCCCCTAATTTCTAAGGCTTTATAGTGTGCTTAGAAAACAACTAAAGGATCTAGAAAGAGTTCTGGTCAGAGTGGGATTCTCTTTAGTCTCTGACGTAGGGAATTATGGAGGATACCAAATACCCAAAGTTGACAGCATTGCGTTTAGTTCCTCCCCACTTTGGTCTGTCACTTCCATTTCAGCAGAAGCCTCGTGTGTACCTTTGCTCTCTACTGCCCATCAGTTTTTCTCTTCTCAAGTGCTCCTAGCTCTCAAGTCCTCTGTCTTCCATTGAATTCATCTTATCTCCCGGTTTCTGGTTTGGTGTATTTCACCGCTCTCTCCTTTTGATTTTTTTTTTTTTTTTTTTTGCCTTTCTTCCATTCTTTCTCTTATTCCTCGGCTGCTCCACCTTGTCCAAGGGCTGGCACACAGCAGCAGCCCCTCTGCGGAGGTGCGTGGTGTGGGACCCGGCACCCTTCAGCTCTCGCTGCTGGAATCCATACTCCCTCCATCCTGGCCTGCACCAAGCTCAGTTTTATTGCCAATTATTCTTCCAATTCATCTTTCTTGAAGGCGGTCTTTTAATTTTTAAAGAAGTATTGCTTCTGGGATAGCTCCCCCCTTGAACAGTGAGTTAACATTGCATGCACAGTAATTAAAAACACATCATAACGTGTTGTTTCAACAGGTTTCTGTCGAAGCCTTGACTCTTAACTACTGTAGGTAATACTTTGTATCATCAACTATAGGAAAGGTAATGAGAAATGCTTAGTAAATTATCTTCTAAAATCATAGAATCATAGAATGGTTTAGGTTGGAAGACCCATCTAGTTCCAACCCCCCTGCCATGGGCAGGGACACCTCCCACCAGCCCAGGTTGCTCAAAGCCATCCAGCCTGGTCTTAAACACCTCCAGGGCTGGGCAGCCACAGCTTCTCTGGACAACCTGGGCCAGTGTCTCACCACCCTCAAAGTGAAATATTTCTTCCTAATATCTAATCTAAATCTACCTTCTTCCGGTTTGACACCATTCCCCCTTGTCCTATCACTACATGCCCTTGTAAAAAGTCCTTCCGCAAATAAAATAAATGCACGTTAATCATTTCAGTGGAAAAGAGCATCTGAGCATTTCAGGGATAAAGCTAATCCACTCCCATCTCATTCAGTAGTAGATTTTCTGAGACAAGGACAGTAACTTCTGCTGGATGCCTAGAGGTTGTGCATGCACTCCCTTTCCAAGTGGAACATTGGCTTGAAATGTGGGTGTGTCAGACTGGTTTTTATAGCATTGTATAATGAGTGTATGCCAAAAGAAGTCATCAAACAGCTGTACACAAGCACTCTTACTGATTTTCCTGTTTAGAATGAAAATACTACATTTAGGATTTGAAAAGTTTGAGGAGGTAGTGACAGCTGCTCTCCCCAGCCCCTCGTTTCTGTGAGCGAACTTTAAAAGCTTGCTTATATAGGTCACTTCAGAGGTTTGTTTATGTATGGCTTTCTCTGACAGAGAGAGCAGTATCAAGCACTCAGTGTTAGGTTTCTCTGCTTTGTAAGATGAAGTTGTGGAACTACCGTGCTCTGAGGGTAGTTCATTTTGCCATTTTTTTCAATGAAACAACAAGTTTTTAACTGTGGATCAGATTTTGACAACCAGAGGTAAATTATTTCCCACGCTTTGTTTTTTCTTCCTTAGATTCGTTACATTTCACAGACTCAAGGTTTGCCAGGAGAGCAGTTGTTAAGCATGGGAACGAAAACTGCAAGATTTTTCTGTAGAGAAACGGATGCACCATATTCTAGTTGGAGATTAAAGGTAAACAGTATAATATAGTAGAAAACAGTATATTATTTTGTGAGCAGAGAGGCCGGTATTCACTATGATACTGTTAGCTCCCTTCCACATCTCCTGTGATTTTTGGTTCAAAACTGGCTTCGGGACTGGCTTTTTCCTAGGAGAAAGGGGATTAAAAAACAATATGTGTACAGCTCATTTCCTTCAGATCTTATGCTAAAACAGTCTTTTTTGGCAGAAAGCTGCAATACAATGAAAGCAGACAAAATTAAAAAAGTGGACTTTAATGGTCTGCAAACCTTCCTTAACTCTAAGCAATGTTATTGCACAGTGGCCATAAGCAGAGCTTTAACTTCTTATGCAAATATTCATGTATTTTTTTTTAAATTGTACTGCTTCATGGCACCGCTTCACCAAATTACGGAGGCCTGAGGGAGTCAGGACGCAGTTATGGTTGACATAAAACTTCTGCAGTAACGAAGAGCTGATGAGCTCAAAGCACAAGTTGCGTAACTCAGCAGTAATTCGGTAAATCCCTGGCGCGCGTTGGACCGAGCGGCCGGGGACGGTGCTGCCCGGCCGTAACGCTGCCGCCTCAGCTTATGTAAGGATTCTCCAATTACACCATCCTGATTATTCCAGTTTTCTGTTTTTTCGGCCGATTGGTCATTAGGTGCCAGTTTACATCTGGCTTCTCCGTATCGGAGAACTTAAATGAGTTCTTGATGCGAACAGCCCTCCCCGTTTTCAGAAGCTGTTCCCTTTCAGAGGTTCACAGCAGACTAAAAGCTGTTTTGGGGGAAGAAAGGAGTTTTGGTATGGACCATTGGTCATTACTTGCAGTTTTTGTCAAGGTTAATTTTGGAATCTTTTCTGTAATCTGTACGTTAAATTTTTTTTTCCCTGCAGTCCTGTCTTACCTCCTGCAACATGGACTCCTAAAACAAAACCTGCCTCCTGGTGCTGTCTGTGTTGAAGGAGGAAAATTGTAACAGAAAGTGATATTCCAGCTCATAAATCACTGATGGGTGATCACATTCATTCTCTGGGATTTAATTGTTAGTTTCGCACTTCAGCATTTAAAATACTTGCACCAACTGTTGTGTATGCAAAGGAATAAAAGTATACAAATAACAAAAGAAAAGAGAAAGCAAAGAGAAATTGAACAGAACCTGCCTGGTTTTTGGTTTATTTTTTTTTACAGTGATAGGATGTTGCTCATGTTTGGAGTTAAAAGTCTGAGGTTGAGGTGGTGTGTAAAATGCAAGGAATTGAAAACCTGTGATATATAAAAACACAAGCACACGAGAAAGTTTCATTAAACAATGTTTTGCTAGGCTTTCGGCACTTCTAGTGTAATTTACAAATCACCTATTGTAATCCAGTACTGTGATCATTCAGACATGAAATTCAGTAGGTTTTGTATTTTGATTTAGAAAATGAAAGTATTCAGCAAACTGGCAGACAAATATACAATTGAAATATTAATTATTGTTTTAAAAAACAGATTTATTGGGCCAATAAATATGTAAAGTTACTTTGTAGCTATGTGTCCTTTATTGTCAACTTCTAAACTCAGCTTTCCTTTTATTTTTTTTTTTTTTTTGAGACATTGGAAGAGCATGAGGCAGAGACAGGTATGAAGTCTAAAGAGGCCAGAAAGTATATTTTCAACAGTTTGGATGACATAGTGCATGTGAGTATTAAAGCATTCTTCCTTTGCAAAAGGAATGTGTGATTTTAAAACATTTCACTGCTTTGAAATAAACACCTTTTGTAATATTATTTATTGTATACCGGTCACATCCATTCTTCTCTGTATGTTTTGGTCTGAGGAAAATGTGTAGCAATGTTGGTCCATGGGGCTTTTTATAAAGATCTTCCTTTGTTGTTGCTTGTGTTAAAAAAGGGTACTTGTCCTTGTGGTGGTGGTGGTGTCCCTTTAATTTTATGTATAATGTATACTTTCTCTTCTACCTGATCTGCCATTCTGGGTAAAAAAAAAAAGCGCATATGCATCCTGCTATCTTAACTACATAATTTCCAGTATAATTCTGTTATCTTAACAGTGTAATTATCAATACAATCATTTTTTCTTTTTAAAAAACCCGTAATTGTTTCCACCCTTTTGTTTAGCTTTGTAACTCTCTAGTTAACAACAAAAGGAAATTTTTCATTCTCTGCGATATCCTGAAAAGAGAATCAAATCTTTTTGCAAGATTGGCATTAAGGCATGTTTGAAATTCTTTTTGAAGGCTACCTGTGTAGTTTAAGTTAGACCATATAAAGATCTTTGTCCCAAATCTTACTTCTTAAATTCCAAGTCCCAGCCTGGAATAAAGCCTTGAGGGTTTTTTATCCGGGGAGGGTGCAAGGGGAGTAGTGTGCGCACAGAAAAAAGTCACCAATTCCAAGCCAACCGTACCGGGATAAGCTGGCAAATTCACTGTGTCCCACGTGTTAAAATCATTGAATATTAGGATTTTATAGCAGAAAGCAATAACACAAAGAGTTAAGCCAATAGGTATGTCGTCTGTCTGACTGTTTTGTTCAATGCCAGGTGAACATGGTGATGGATTTGGAAGGAAGTGACCTGTTGGCAGAGAAGGCAGATAGGAGGGAATTTGTCAGTCTATTGAAGAAAATGTTGCTGATCGATGCTGATTTAAGAATCACTCCAGCTGAGACCCTGAACCATTCTTTTGTTACTATGAAGCACCTCCTCGATTTTCCTCATAGCAACCAGTATGTAACACGCAAAAATTATTTTTTTTTAAATCTCCATTGTAGTGATTCATGTGTATAATAGTATTATTTCATCAGTTATCAGAGAGAAAAATCTTTTCTTGTTTTTGCAACGTCTTAGAGAATTCTTTCAAGTGCTTGCAGTATTAGACATGTCTACGTGGTCAAGAAAACTTTGAATAACTATGTTGGTTTTTTTCTGAAAAGTAATGTTTAGAGTAGTAGATTTCTAAGTTGATAAAATTCCAATGCTGCAGAAACTTGGGCTTGATTTTTGGAAGTATGAAGAACCTTCAAATGTTTCTGTCAGTCATTGAGAGCTAGGATAGGCATTTCCTCTTAAGATTAAGGTGTCAGATAACTTCTTTTATGCATTGGTTAATATGGAGTATATTTAAAGTTTTTTTGCAGTCCTGGAATTGTGCATTTTGCTGTGGATTGCCTAAAGTGCAAGCATTTCACTGAAAGAAAGGGCTTTCCCATCCATTTAGCTAACTATCCTTCTGGCTTGTATGCAGTTGTTATAAAATGGTGTTAGATACAAGGAGCAGGAAGGAGCGGTATTTTTCCTGATTTTTAAAATGTACATTACAAAGGCTTGACATGAACATAGTAATAGCAGTATTTCTTTTTTTTCTATTTCTGTGTATGGTGCCATTCCGTGAAACTGGGAAAGGTGGGCTTTGAACTATTTTTTTTTTTTCTTGTTCTGGAGAATGTTTAACAACATGAAATTCTAATTAAAGCAACTTATATTCTGGTTTTGACAGAGTGAAGTCCTGTTTTCATATCATGGATGTTTGCAGATCAAATTTGTACGACTCAAGTAATCGCAATAAAACATCACTTATGAGACCAGTTGCCTCAGGCAGTGCAGCTAATCTGACTGCGAGCTTTACCAAAATTGGTCCAGTAAGAAGTCAGGTAAAAACATTTCTTTTTTAATTATAAATTCCTGTAATGCAGTTTCTCTAATTAATTTCATAATTGAAAAAGTGCATCTAGTAAGTGACAAAATCTACTGTCTTTTACTCTCTTTTTTTACTGATGTTTTCTTAAACAAACAAACAAACCATTTAGAATTCAGTATGTTTCAGAATTGTTGCCATAGTGAAGCAGTGCTGTATTATAGTGCCCTCCGGTGGCCAAATGGGATTGCTTCCTGTGAAATGCGTTTGAAATTCTAATTTTTATAAGTTACTTTAGTTGTTTAATATAGAAGCAGGTGGGACAAGTGTGTGAGAGATTTAGATTCACAGTTATAATGTTGTCTGATTTAGATTCACAGTTATAATGTTGTCTGATTTAGATTCACAGTTACAATGTTGTCTGTATTGAATCTGTTCCCATAGGCATTAACTGCATCTGCCCATTCCGTTTTGCACCAAGGGATACCGCTGCAGGCAGGAACTGCGCAGTTTGGTTGCAGTGATGTTTTCCAACAGGCATTGATTATATGTCCTCCAACTATTCAAGGTATGTTTAACTATAATTGTTGCAGTTCCTGAAATATGAGTGTTACTGTTTATCTGCTAGCAGTATTTCACTTTTCCATTATATCCGGTTAAGCTATGTATTTAAAAGAACTTAATTACATCGTAAAAAATGAGCATGTGAGTCAGATGAATCGCACCTTTCTGAAAGAAACAGCAAATCAGCATCTGCAGAAAATCCAGAGCCCATCTTCACCATACCACGCACATAGATGTGTATACATATATATATATATATGTGTGTGTGTGTATATATATATATATATATGTATCTGGTGGATAAAATAGAGGGACACAATGTGGAAGCTGAAGCAAGAAAGGAGGGTATTCTGAAATAAAATTTGAGAGGAAACAAGAAAGTTGAGGGGAATATCAGTGTTGTGGGGTTTTTGGTGGTGGGGTTTCTTTGTTACTTTTTTGGTGGTTGTGTGTGTTGGGATTGTTTTGTTTGTTGATTCAGTTGCGGTGATTTGTTTGCGTTTCTTTCTTTGTTTTGTTTTGTTTTGTTGTGTGTTCCCACCCCCCAACTACATCCCTAGGGATAAGGATAAGAAAACATAAAAGTTCTTGTGATAAATCTGGATAATAAAGTTGGTGTTTTTTATGGGATGTCCAAGTGAATGTTTAAGAAAACCTCCGGAAACTTGGGGCCTCGTTGAAGGATGTAGCTGCCCTGTGCAAACATTTACTGTCACATTTACTGTCTTGTGGTTATAATGCTGGATAGAAATACCGCAGCGTTCTGATGGCTGGAAAACACATAACTAAATCTTTGAGAATGCGGATTGCATCGTGCTGGGAGGAGGAAAGGGCAGCTTGGCTGAACTCTCCTGTATTACAAAGGATAAGATAATTTTAAGCATGCAATTTTGTATTTATGGAAAGAAATAATTGGCTGAGGGCTCAATTATCAGAAACATTTGGAAAACTGGGAGGTGGAAGTGCTAGCACACAAGTATTTCCATAGTGTAGAAAATGACCAAATAAGGATCTGTGTGTCTAAAAGGACACATGGTAATGCAGCTGATCTCTGTTTCCCTAAAAAAATGCATTTGCATCATGCAAGTGTATTTTTTGGAGGAGTCTTTAAAACTTCAGTTAGATCTCAAAACATATCAAGCAAAACTTGTTTTCTGTTTATAATGGGCTGATCAGAGAGGATCAGTTTACGGAGAGGGAAAGGTAGCTTATATTGTTTCCTTATTAACTTAGCTTGATTATAATCTTCATCTCTAAAGATGCAATTTGTCTGTCTTGGTGATGTTCAGCTTTATGCGGAGATCAGATCTTGAAATGACAGAGTTTATAGGAAGTAGGATTTTTTTTTTTTAAGAATGACTTTCAGAGTCCTCCTTAGATCTCCCTCCACAGGTTAAAGCTACAGAAATCACACGAGATTCACTCTGGGGGAAAAAAAAAAAAACCCAAACCACTTTTAACCTAAACTTAGAACCTGGGAAGTCTTTACCTCTTTAGATAAAGACGGATACAGCAAACTTTATCAGTAATGTTATTTGTGGCTGCTGCATCTATCTTGGGTTCCAGAAGCTCATGAAAGCTCCTGAGTATTCCCCATGCAGAGTGTCAGAGGCCGTATGAGCTAAATGCATAGCTTCATATAGATTTCCTTCTGAGCACTTAGTATGGCTAAGTAATTTCCTATTTAAATTGTATATATGCTTTACACAATGACATATTCTGTGATTTAAAAACCCTACTCTTTTGATTATACCCAGAAGAATAAAGTGATTATAGAAAAGGAAACAATACAGCCAAATAGTTTATCTGTGATTTGTACACTGTATTCTTAGTATGATGATAAATTTCCAAATTTAAGTTCTGCTACAGCTTGAATGAAGGCAATATATTGTTTTCATCACATAGGTGACAAGTTGAGTTGCTGGCACGGAGGGAAAGGGTTATTAATGGTATCTGGCACTGCTTCAAGGTTTCCCTGCTTGGCTGCTCTGTCGAATATCTGAAGTGCTAAAGCTCACTACTTCTGGCAGAGTTAAGATGTTGCTGTTCTAGATGGCTGTATGGAAAAAATTAGTCAACAGCATTTCAAAATTAAAAGCTTTGGAGTGCACAGTTATAACTTAGTATTGTGTTACGACATGAGAGAATTACGTCAGGCGAAGATTTTCTTTCATCCTTTATTGTAAAGATTTTTTAAAAAGCCCCACTTTTAATCTTTAGTTTAGTAGTTCTTTAGTAGTTACCTCCAAACACCCATTGCTTAGTCTTTGACTAAAGTACAAGATGCAATATGCAGTTAAAAGATGAAATTAGTATATTTGCCTAGCTGGTATTTTCTTCTAGCATAGCCGTTCTATTGCAGTATCTGTTAAAAAAATCCCTCTTTAGTTTAACATTTTTATCTTTAAAATTATTATTAGTAGTAAACATTGCAGCATTGCTATACGTCTGTTAGTTTCCTGTGACAATGATGAAATCTATAGAGAGCATGAAATGCATCTTTTTCCTATTGCTCCAGCAGTGCTATGGTTTGCGTTATTCTGATGAAGGGAGGAATAGGATTATGGATTCTACTGCAAGTACTTGATGGCATAAACAGAAAATTTTACATTGTTTCCCACGACAGAGTTGGTAACAAATAGGGGCATTATACATGTGGCGTTGCCATCTATAAGAGCAAAGAGGAATGGGTTTCAGCTCACTGGAAATACAGAGCGTGAGATGTGCGGGAGTCAGCCGTGAAAAGCTTTGAAATTCAGTTCTGCTTACTTTTTGTCTGCTTCCTTTCAAATACTTTTAATGTCATGTGTGATAAAGAGTAAAATGCTTAGCTTTGCAGAACTTTCTGCCAAAGTCGTTCCGCTTTCTAGTAGTCTGTTTCCAAACAGTAGCTATTGGCAGTTCTTTCTGAAAATGACAGCATCAGATATTTGTGCAGATATGTAATGGCACAAAAATCTTTTAGGTGTTGATTTATTTGGTTTGGAAGTCTAAATTCTGGAATTCGATCATAAACACATCAAGAAAAAAATAGTAAAATGTTGTAAAATTATCCTTTATGTTTGCATTCTGCTCAGAAAATATATGCAAGACTGATGTTTTGCTTAAAGCTTGGGTATGTGTTTTTCTCCCTTACAGGAATTCCAACAAACCATAGTAAACCCACCAGCTTCTCCCTGAGGGTGGATAATGCAGTTCCGTTGGTGACCCAAGCCCACGCAATTCAGCCATTACAGATTCGAGCAGGAATCCTTTCTCAGGTTGGCTGACTTCCAAGTAAAAATCTTACTTGTATTGTTATTAGTTAGTAAATATTTCTGCCCTGTAGAGTTCTGTTGCAGTCCTCCTGTCTTGTGCTGAACGACAAGCAGCTCCTGTAAATTCAGTCGTTCTTTGCATCGTGACGTCTTCTCTGCTTCCCAACAGACGTGGACAAATCAGACCCAGCAAATACTGGTTCCCGCGTGGCAGCAAGTGGCGCCAGTGGCAGCTCCTGCTACATCTCTGGCCTCTGATCCTGTGGCTGGCCCACAGAGGCTTGGAGACTGGGGGTAAGTCTGCATATTTTTGTGCGATACCTTGATGGCTTTGCTTTAACAAGATCTACTGATGCAATGCAAATGACTTGCAATTTAAAACTCCCTTTTATTTTTCCTCAGGAAGATGATTACCCAGGGCACCCATTACAATTCAATGATACCGCAGCCTCTTTTAACACATCAGATAACCTTGTCTGCCCCTCAGCCAATTAGTGTGGGCATTGCACATGTTGTCTGGCCTCAGCCTGCAGCTACCAAGAGGAACAAACTGTGTCAGAACAGGTCGGTAGAATATTTCTAACATTCAAAGACGGCCTATCTGTAGTTACTGTTCAATGGGCAGGGGAATAGCCTGTAAAAGTAGTATGTTTGTTAGTGACAATTGTACTTAAATGGTCTTTTGGGGAAATTTGTTCTTACTGCACTAAGTTTTTAGTGTTATTTTGGTAATACTGACTAGGTGGAAAAATAGTTGCAGTAGTAAGAGCTTTTAGATCCTGTTGATTAGTATGTGCCTATCATGATAGCAAAGTTGTCTTTATAGCCTTTGGGAAGGTATAAAAATATATTGAGGTAGCTCTAACGAGATATTCCGAAGCTTATGTGCATGAGGATATATCAGCTTTAGGCAACTAAAAATAAAGAGATACTATATAAGAGGGTTGTAAAATGCCTTATAATCGTCTTAAGAATAGTCTGTCTTTCACTGGTGGCCAAAAATACTCCAGCTGCCCTCTGAAGAAAATATGCCCCACTGCCATACAAAGTATTTGCGAAGGTGTGGGATGCTGAGTAAAGGGGAAAGCGTGGGTTGTGGAGGGGTCATTTCAGCAGTCTTGTTTTAAGCAAGGTTTTCATCCAGAGGCTACCGACTTTTGGTTTCGGGGAGAATCTTTGCAGGAAATCTGGCTGGGTTTTGTTTGCTTGTTTTGCACCCAAATGGGATTTTATTTTCTTTTTTTCATTATAAGAAAATGGGATTTTCAATGTATTGTATTCAACGCTGTTGCAAATTTTGGTCTTAGATATTACTTAGTTTGGATACAGCAACGTAGCTTCTTAGCATGTTCCTGGATTTTTTTTTTTTAAATTAATGTCTGAAATCGTATATGCCAAGTATTTATGACTGCGTTTGTTGTTTTATGTTTTTCTTTGTATTAGTTTAGAAAACTGGTGTTTTAACCTACATTGCTTTCTTTGTTTTTGTTGGAGATAGTACAGTTTTCAGGTCTGTTGGTAGAGATTCACTAAATATCAAATGGTGTGTTTTCTTCGCAGGAGCAATGTGTTACAAAATACCAATATCCAAAACTCAGCCTTTCTATCTCCAAAGATACTTAACCTGAAGGCTGTAAAGAGAATAAGTTGCATAGAAGCACAGGACAATCATAACTCAGAAGGACAGGAAAGTAACTGTTGTCAAGCGTCGGTCAGGCTGGACCCTGATTCATCTCTTTCAACCAAACAGCGCCAGGCTATCTTCATTGCCGGTTCCCCCAGCCCAGCAGTCAGCGTGATCACCATCAGCAGTGACACAGATGAAGATGACATAGGACGAACACATTCACTGAGAGAGTAAGAATCGGTGTTTACTTTTATGAAGGTGTTACTTTAATATAGCTGTTTTAGCATGGCTACTGTGTTTAACAAATGCCAGTTAGGAAAAGGCAAACAATGCACTTCTCATCAAATTTCACTAAGAAGTTAGTGCTGTAGCAGTACGTTATTTGAAAGTGAAAAATACTTTCAAAAGTCTGCCTCATTAATCTATGTACGTGAGGCATTTGCAACAGGAAATAACTAACTTATTCTTCTTTTGTAACAGATTTGGTCAAAACAGAATACTTTTATCTCCAGCACACCTTTTTTTGCTTAATACTGTCATACCCTATTTATTTGTTGAAGATCAGTCTTCTGGCTTTGTATAATCAATGTTATCATTCTAGCAGTAGCATCCAGGAGTTCACATTACATACATATGAGTTAAAAATACATTTCTAACAGTACGAAAAGGTCTGCATTTGGGTACAAAAGCAGATGCTGAGTGTGGTTCCCCAAAGGAGTTTTCTTTCACAAAACTGTCAAAGAAGCATGTATCGTTTTAAATGAGCAAACATTAAATTTTAATTTAATGTTTGCTCAACTTTATTTCTACTTGTAATGATGCTGAACTGGAGGAACTTGTATTTTAAATCTAGACTTTGCCAAATGTTTCAAGGTTCTGAACTGTTGTATTAAAATCTCTTATCTACTTGTTTTAGTATTGATTCAATAAACAATTAATTGATTGAGTAGGCTTCCAAAACTGCATGTTTAGTCTAGAATTTCCAGAAGAACTCAGAAAATATTTAAAATCTGTTTTGGATGTAAAAGAAGCAATGTTGATTTACATTTAAGGGCCCTTTTCTAATATTTGCCCCTTTTTTATTCTATAATTACACCTAAGTCGGTGGGGAATGCAAGATGGTATGTTTGTTCACTTCCTTTTTGCGTGGTAGGTGTAAAGGTAGCCTTGACTGCGAAGCCTGCCAGAACACCCTGAACATTGACCGCGTGTGTTCTCTCAGCAGTCCTGATAGCACTCTGAGTACCAGCTCCTCGGGACAGTCTAGTCCCTCTCCTTGCAAGAGATCCAACAGGTAAAAAGCTGTGCTCCTTTCGGCAAAAGGAAAGATCCTAGTATACAGCAGACTTGGTTTATAATAAAAAATGCAAGGGCTTTGTTATGTTGCCATATGGTGAGGCTAAGGGATGTATTTAAAATTTAATTTATTGGCCTACAGTTGCACAGCATAGACTGTTCTTTTACCGTTCCTAACAGATCTGTCTTGCTATATTGGAAGTTTTCAGAGTACTTGAATGAATGGCTTTTACACAGAAAATATGAGCATGTTGCACACAACTTCCTTTAGAACAAAAATCTTCTAAGGTTGCAAAATTAAGCGAGCCAAAGTAGGATGTGACAGATCTGAAGTTACCAGAACATCTTTAATTTTTGCACCTTCTTGTTCTCCCTTTGTGTATCTTGTATTGTAATCTTCAGTGACATTGATGCCTTTTTTCTTCTATCAAACATAAGCTTCACTTATGTCAACACTGTTCGTATGAGCAGCTTTTAAATATTTTTATCTTCACTGCTTGATGTCTACTTCATCCTTTATTTTTGCACATTATTCAAAATTCAGTCTTAGAAAAACATTCAACATAACTCTGAAAATGAATGACACTTTCCCAACAGTACCTGAGAGCTTGACACTAAGGCATCTGTTTGTGTGATACCTATAAGACATGGTACTGTGGCACAGTCAGAAGTTCCCACTGACTTGAGATACTCTCCTTGGAGTTTTTCCTCTTATTTAGGTCCCTGCCCTTCAGGTGCTAATATGTTGAAACTTTAGTTGTGTCTATGAGTACCTGGCACTTCTACAAATCAGATTTCTAGATAGGAGTTTGGGGACCAAGAAATATTTGGGATATATAGTTGCTGGTATTGGTGAAAAGTTTGATTTAATATGATTTACTCAATATCCCATAGAAATTCTGTGACCTAGGGATATAATTAATTTTTTTTTTCAAGCAACCTATGGCTGCCATAAGCATGACCAGTTCTTTTAATTTTATTCTACAGTTCACTTCCTTTATTCTGTAGAGTAGCTTGTTGTATAGAAAAGAGTTATTCAAACTCGGAGCAGTTTCATTGTGCAGACCAAGTAAGATTGGAGTCTTAATGAAAAAAAAAGGGGTTTTAAAAGTAATTAAGTTTTCTGTCAGGTTACTAAACTGATCCAACTCATTCTTCAGACACAACGGCTAGATCCAACAGCAAAAGAATAGTAATGGAGCACATGGGTAGATTTTTTTATTGTTTAGCGTTACTTGTTCTAGAAGATAATCCTAGACAAATTTTTGCCATTTCTGGGACTTCGGAGATATTGGTATAAAAAGTTGCCAGAGTTATATAGATAGACTAAACCAGGTACATTTCCCTGGTCCTATTTTCAAATGTGTGTAATTTCTGACTGTAAAACAAGAGAATAACTAGAAGTGTTTGAAGAATTTCCATTCAAATGGTTAAATTTTAGTAAAGATACAGGTAACAAGACGTGTCTCATACTGGGAAGCATCAGGTAGTCTTACTGGTTGATAGTTAAAATTGTCGGTCCTGCTTATGATATTCTTTAGTATCAAAACATTCAAAACTTCAGACAAGTTTTTTATAAAGACCTGCTTGATTTTACAGTGTTTTCTTTGAATTGCAAGGAACTCACCTGTAATTCAATTCCCCTCTGTAACTCAACTTTATGTCAATAGCAGAGGAATGCGTCAGATTCTGGTTTCTTTAGCATTTGACTTACAGCAAGTCATATAATTAGTAACTTGAATCAAAAGTTAAGAATATAGAAATATAATTAATTGCTCAGTAGTTGTCACAGTATCATTATTTTTTACTTAAAAAACTATTCAGAGTTACCTAGCTCTGTTGACTAAGACCTCAGGGTTTTGTGCTGACCCTCATAGTGTCAAAGTACTTTTCACAAAAATTTAAATTTTATAAATGGTTTTATTTATATTCTCTTAATTTAATCACTGTGCTATAAGGACCTGTTACATTAGCTATAAAGTCATCAAAGGACTTGACCATATGTTTAGGGGTTAGTGAATTCACTGCTGTCCCTTTTTTGTTTTAAGTTAAGCATGTATTCCACCAGTTTGTAATACAAGCTGGAGTTTTCACATTTTTCTAGTTTATAGAAATTCTTAATTCTCATGCCTGTCCTGTCTAACCAGGAACTTTGTTAGCATCTACGCTTAATCATTCATCACCCCATACTGTTCTTTTTACCTGCATTAAGTGAATGATGTCTCTTGCTATCTATATAATCCATACCTGGCACAGTCCCAGTTGAGGACCAGTCAAATTTCTCTTCTGTTGTTGTTAGTGATGTGTCAGTGATGTACCTTTTGCTTGTGTAATAAATAATACATAAATGAGATTAATATCTTTTCTGGCAATGTACCTCATTGTGAATTAGTTTCCTTTCCCAGGTTGTTTACTACTTGCTGCCTAAAAGGTATTTGGTTCTGGTTCCACTGACTGAACTGTGATCTTGCTTCTGGCAGCTGGCTTTTACCATCTTCTTAGCCCTTTCTTCTTCTGATACAAGCATGGCGCTTCAGTAAATGTTAGCAAAGGCTATTATTATGAGTTGGCTTCTCTACCTTTTCCTCCTTCCAGCTGCCTTGGTAAAAGCAGTGGTTGAATAAATGAGTTTGCACCACTTGACCAGCATGGATTTCACAGACCACAAGTGCTAAAATAGCCGCCGTGTAGATAGAGGGTTGCGTTTGTCTCCTCAATCTAAATCTGTGAAAAAAGATGAATCTGTCAGTCACACATAGGCAGTGCTCTGTGGAGGAGCTTCAGGGAGACCTAATTTTTCCATAGATAAGGTCGAGTGTAGCTGCTGTGGTTGCTGTGCAGCTGAGAGGGAGCTGCCTGCCACTGTGCAGATTGCTTCCTCAGCGCTCTCTATCCCATCCTGACTCTCGTGGCCCCAGGGACGGCTTTTTGCAGACTCCGGGATGTGGCTGATTTCTAGAAGGAAATTAGATCAGTATGTTCTCATTTGCTAGCGTAATAAACATTGGGAGAACTGTATGTTTTGATTCAGGAGGAAACGAGATAATCTTCTTCAACCTTTTATGGGACCTAAAAATCTAAATTTCAGGTGGTTTATAAGTACAAAATCTTTTAAAAAAATAAATTACCAACTGGATGCAAGTAGAGTTACACATCTTAGTCTGTATGTAGAAGTTATCTCCTTTCTCTGAGCCTGGCAATTTGTGGGTAGAATGAGTTTGATTATTGAACTGCCATCTGAATGTCTGTGCTTGTCTAATTAAAATCTAACGTCTTTATACACCTTTGAGTAGTTTCACCTCCGTATATTTTTTGCGGTAATCTAATAAAATGCATCTATATTATGAAAATGTATTTGTTTCAATGCAATACTTTTATTTTTTGATAGTATGTCAGATGACGAACAGGAAAGTGGATGCGATACGGTGGATGGTTCCCCAACTTCAGACTCTTCAGGACACGACAGCCCATTTGTGGAAAATGGCTTTGTAGCTAATACCAATAAAAACAAGGAAGCAAGAGCATCGGTTAATCCTGAAACCAAATCAGCCCTTTGCACGGTAGTAGTACCACCAATGAGACTTGAAAACAGGTTACATCTTGATGAACAGATGGTGAATACAGGTAAGTTAGTTCAGGTGATTTTTTTTCTTTCTATACCTGTAGATAAGAATATAAATTTGAATATTCATTCATTTATTTCTTTGAAGATGCTACATGCCAGCCACTGAAAAAGGGTCGGTCTGTCCTGGGAAGAATAAACCAGCCTTCTATTGTAGGAAACCGTCAGCAAAAACTGACATCAGCATTCCATCAGCAACATATAAACTTCAGTCAGGTATGTGTACTTACTTGCATCTAAGAAGTGTTTTTTCTGTCTTGGGGTTCCAAACGTGCTGAATGCTCATAATTTCAATTGCTGTCAATGGCAACTGCAGGTTTGCAACAGCTTGATTACAGAAGTGTTCAAATCTTGAAAAATGGATTTCAACTTACTGGGCAAGTCATAAGTATCTTTCGCTTTTGGTCATTTTCTTAAAGCACCTGACTTTATTTTTAAAAATGATAGAAAAGCCACACTGCGAAAATGATCAATGCCTACACAAAATCAAAGCACGAGACAAAATGAAAAATATCTTAGTTTATTATTTTTTTTCCTATATCCAAATGCTTAAGTGCTCATAGTGCGCAGTTAAAAACTGCGGCTATATTTCAGTCTTGTTGTGTTAGTAGTGTGCCTGATACTGCTTGTAGTTTGAGTATCCAGAGAATGAGATAGAGCTTAGCGAACCCAACCTTTGCTGCCAGGTAGCGAAGCTGGGGGAGAAGAGGTTGTGATCGTAGTTCAATCCAATGTTGGAAGATACCCAATTTAAAAGCTACTTTTGTCGTTACCCAACAACATAGTAAATGTGTCTGCTGTGGCTGAGAACTGAAGTTGACACATGACATCAAGTTTAAGCCCCTTTTTAATTAATTAATTTTGAGCTGTAGCTGCGCTGAGCTTTCGGTTAGATATCTGGAGGTACATTTAATGTAAGAGCAGTACCTGTTTGTATAAGTCTTGCAGAGTAACCGTGAATATTAAATTGTGAGTTAAATACTGAATGCAAGCATGCTACATGTAGATAAGAGGATTTACCAATAATGACTTGAACAGTTTAGATTGAAAGAAACATTTGGGTGGGTGACACAATCTCCCCTTCTTCATGGTTATGCAGAAGGATTGATTTAATTAATTTTAAGCAAACCTTAATATGATCAGCATAGTATTAATTTTTAATCTCCTTAATGACTGCAGCTCCTCAGCCTCTTGGCAGAAAGTGTAGAACGTTATTTTCATTACAAAAATTTATACTAATCCTTCCTTCTTTGGTAGATGCCCTGTGTAGTTTGAAGTCTGCATCATTTAATGGGAGTAATTGATTTTTAGTCTTTCTCTTTATAACTGTTAATGATTGCCACACCTTCCTGTGATCATAGCCCTAGACTTCTGTTTGCCTAGTTGTCTCAGATATTTTCAATCCGTTTATTATTTTTTCTGCTCTCCTCTAAAATTTCTCTCCTATTTGTCCTCTTTGTGCCTCATTATGGTGCCCAAACTGAATGCAGCACTTCCAATTGATGCCAAGCCAGTGCTGAGTAGAGTGGAATAAGCACCTTGCTCATGTGATACATGGTATTTCTGTTAAAACAGCCCAGCATGGCATTTTATCTTTTCTTTTTTTTTCTATTTTTTTTTTTGCAAGAGCATTGAAATAACTTGTGTTCTGTTTACCATCTCTTATTGTCAGATTTCCTGTCTGTGCTACTATCTAAATAGCTAATTTTTTTTTTAAGCATTTAATTATTCCTGTCTATATTACTCTTGATTTTAAGTTGACTAGTTTTAGTGCATTTATTCCATTTTTCAAGCTCTCTTTATACTTGGAAATATTAAGACCTGCCCGTTTCTGTGTGTGGACAGGTTCAGCACTTTGGATCTGGGCCGCAGGAATGGAACGGAAACTACGCTCATCGGAGGCAGCAGGCTTACATCCCAGCCGGCGTTGCCGGTCATGCTTTCTCCCTTCCGCAAGGAAGTCCAACTCACACTACTGTGCACGCGCATCTCTCTGGAAGTACCCACCTCGGAGCACAGCCTGCTATTCTTCCGTACCCGTCGTCGGCACCCCTTAGTACTGCTGCCCCCGTTGCCCACCTCCTTGCCTCGCCGTGTACCTCAAGACCCTTGTTGCAACATCCAGCGTACAATATGTCTCATCCCAGTGGTATAGTGCACCAAGTTCCAGTTGGCATAAACCCCCGTCTCTTACCTTCCCCCACCATTCATCAGACTCAATACAAACCAATTTTCCCACCGCATTCGTACATTGCCGCATCGCCTGCTTACACAGGATTTCCATTGAGTCCGACAAAACTCAGCCAGTATCCGTTCATGTGAGAACTCAAATACAGTATATTGAGGAAGCTCAATGATACAGAAGTTTGATTTAAGAAGAAACATGGTATTTATTAAATATTAGCCATGGCACAACAGGAAAATTATTTTTTTGATTCATGTAGACTTGGGTGCAATTTAAACAACTCTGAGCTTTAAAAAAAACTCACTTTTAATGTGTTTTGCACATTTGGTATAACTTGTCTTTGGTCATGTTATCTTCTTATATAGTAACTTTAGACAGGTGACTTATGGGAGCAGAAATCTGGTTTTGCTCCTGCTATTTTTTATAAAATTGCCTTCTAACTAGTGCAAGACACGTCTACATTTGGGAAGCCATTCAGTGTACAGAACTAGAGCAACAGATGCACATATGTCAGCAGTACAGTGTAGAAGTAACTTGTTTGTATTGCGTATCTTGGTGTTTAAATGTTGAGTCACTTATCTAAAAGTTGAGCTGTTGTTCTTCACATTGCATGTGTCTTTTGCATGGGCAAAAAAAAAAGCCTAAACATTGCTCTTAAATGTTGTCCTAATAATCTCAGCTGCATTGTAAACTGTTCCCACACATAGTGCCTTAAATATTTGAGGTTGTTAATGTTATTACTTATATATAAATGTTGAGGACTGCAGCACTTAAATTCAGATCTGCTGATTTTTTGATAGCGTAATGCTCATTTTTGGGTTTCGTGTGGTATGATTTTAGTATTGGGTGTGGTTTCCTTATTGAGAAGGCAGCATGTTTTGCTGTAGCCAAATTTTGCTGTCTTTTTTCCCCCAGAATGAACTAGCTTCGAGACAAGACTTCAGTAGTGCTTAAGAAAAGTTTGATTCAGTAGCTATTGAGTAGTGACACACAACACAGTATTTCATACTGGTAAATGGAACTGCAATACAACCGAAGTAGTTTATTTTAAAAGTGTTTGTCTAATTGGGTATAATAAAACGTTTAGAGGTGCGGTAGGCATGACTGGCTAGCTAAGGAAAGGAAAAGCCAAGTGCTCATTGATCCATGATGTGGTTTCATCTTAGCTTGAGCAAACCATGCAGTATTTAATAACTAGTAGCAGAATATTTACTGTTGAAGCTTGAAAAGATGTGAGTTCTTTGTGTGCAATCTTTCATTTATGCATGGGAGAGATTTTAGTCTTTTTACATTATAGTATTTGTTTTAGCCTGTTGCGGGTGTTTGCTTATTTAATACATTCCGTCAGGGACGTAAACTACATGCTTTTTGCATAATATTTTTTCCTTAGGAAGTGTGTCTTTTTCGTTTTTTGTTTGTGTTCGAATGAAGTTGCTTTTGCAGCACCAAAGACTTAATCATCCATTTCCTATAAAAGGTAGCTACTTTTTCATAGACCTCAAGTATGCTGTAGTGTAGAGATGGGATTTACGGAAGGTATTAAGCTGAGGCTGTGTTTTAGCTTATGGGCAAGTAATAAATTGTATCATTTATCTTGAATGTATCATAGATAAGCTGCTATATAATGATTGCCACTTCAGATAGCTGTGAAATTAGGTGATTAACTAGTTCTTTCTTAGCCTTCTAATTTCTGTACAAGTCTAATTACATGAAATAGAAGCCGGGTTTTGGGTTTGGTTGGTTTTTTTTTTAATTTTATTTGTTTTCATGTTTGAAGTGTCGTAACTACTATACTGTAAATGATGGAAAATGATTGCATATGTTTTTTTGGGGTGTGTTATTTGCATCAGTATTTTATCTCCATTAACTTTGAGCTCATCACTGCATATAAGTGGATGTATTGATGTAATTTAATTTTTTTTAATGTTTTCATATTGGCATTGTGTAGACACTTAAGAAGCTGCATCTTGCAGGCTTGACTTAACTTTTTTTTAAAACAAAATCTGGAATACAATCCTTGCAATGTTGACTGGAATAAGAGTGCAAAGCATTTGAGTTTAACTCTGTCAATAAGCTAATAACTGGTAATCTTTTTCTTTACTCCACTAACACAAGCAGTGTTTTATTTAATGAATGTCTGAATGAAATAAATGTGCCTACATTTGATTTATTTTTTAAGTAATAACTAAAATACAACAGTATTAGATCATTAAAAAAAATAAAAATACCAGCAGTACATTTTTAATCACACTGAAAATTAAGAAACCTAACTTTTCCCAAAAGTTTCAGTGTTTTTAGTAATCGACTCTATGCATTTTGTACAAGTGTGTGTATATAAAGTATACATTAGAAACTAGGAGTATCCTGATGAATTTGAAATCTTATCAACGCATATCTAAAGCCTAAATATAGGGAGGCAAGAAAATGTTCAAATTGGATATCCACCTCACCACTTCAAACTTGTGCTATCCGGTCCAGCAGACGGTTTTCTGTTCACTCCCCTGTGTTGGGAAGCGACGTTTTTTTGGTGCTTACTCCATTGCAGGCAATGGACACACCAAGAATCACCAATGCGAATGGAGTCAATGAATTTTGTATTGTGATAACAAAAAAAAATACTGCATTTTTTTTCTGGGGCCATGGGGATCTTCATCGGTCTAATGTATTTACTGTACTTTCTTTTTACTGTGCTTAAGGTTTTAAGCTAACGTGCTTGTTAAATTTGACACAGTTATCTGTATATCACAACAGTATCTTATCGTATGCAGGAAAAAGTTGCTGTAAATGCGCCCCAAATTAGATCTGCTGCTCTTTCTATGTGTTGTAATTCTAGAAATGTCTGCATTTCAAAGAATGAAATATTTGGGATCCTGCCACAGCTTAAATTCGGGTGACTTTTCCCCTATCCTGCAATACACTCGGAGAGAACGGACTCTTGTCACTGCAAGTGTCCGGGGCCCATCTGCAGAGAAAAAAAGAAAAAAAAAAAAAAAAAAAAAAGCAGCTTTCAGGGTGAAGGCCTTTTCTGTGAAAAAGGTCATCCTCTGAGAAGCATTTCTATCCATTACCGTTTTAATGCCTTTTTTAAATAAAACACTGCATGACTACGGAATTGCATATCTGCATATTACTTTAATTTGCAAGATTTTATATGAATTTCTTGTGTTCGGTTTTTAACTTTACTTCAGGGTGTTTTATTGGTCAAATATGCTACTGTATTAACTTTTTTGGTTTTAGTTTTTAAATTTTCGGTTTTTACTGCTAATTAACTTGGTTTGTGTTAAGTAAAAGTTAAATCACACTGCAAGCTGTAGGAAGACTTGTTCTAGAAATACCCAGTGATAGAGACTTGATTAATAAGTTTGAACTGTTACTGTTTAACAATTTGTAGACTTGTGGCTTTTTTTTTTTTGCTTTGGATTTCTATGCTACACTAGTTCGCCATGTAGCAATTGCACTGTGCAATATTACAATATGAGGACTGGGAAAATTTTTTATGGATGTAATGTCTCTTACAGTTTGCGATAGTATTTCTTTCTAGTTCTCAGTGATTTAAATGTGACCAAGCCTTCTGTACTTTGTCACAAAAAGCGGGTTTTCCAGGTGACTATTTTGGTGAGTGTCAAAATAAGAATTTATGGTGTATTACTGTCGAGATTCACTTTGAATTAAAATATATATTGCAGCAGATTACTTTTGGTGGCTTTCATTTTTTGCTGTGTTACATCAAGGCTGGATTAAGGCAAAGGCGGTGGAAATTCACGGGGAGGGCTCTAAAATTCTGATACAATCATTTGCCTAAGCTGCTCTTCTTCCTGAAATTTTAAATGTTCTTCCAAGGTTTGCTTAGCAGGGTCTTCAGAATCTGCCTTTAGTGTAGCCAAACCTTGAAGGGTCTTTGTTCTGGATGCCCCGCATTTATAACCTTGGGAGAAGGTCATCTGGCCCAGACCTCAGCAGATACGTCGCTGCTGCTGAAGTTGGTACCAAGCCTGTGGCAACTGCAGCTTGGCCAGCAGGAAGGTGCTCCTGCTGCCGCAGGTGGCCCCACGCGGTCAGCGACTCCAGATGGCCAGCCTGGTATGGACCAGACGTCCGTGGAAGGCACATTTGCCGGTGCTGCTGCCAGCCAAATGTGCTGCTATGGGCTTACAGTGCTTACTGAAATGTGGTGGTTTGGAAGCTATCACAGAGCGGGCTTTTGGGTACGCGTATTTAGGGAGTAGCATGGTTTCTGTGCTTAACATCCCATTTAAGGCGCTGTCATGAATGAACTGTAAAAGACTGCAATGACAATGCAACATAGCTTTGATACCACAATATTTCAGAATTGACAGAAATCTTTACTTTGCTAAATACAAGGTGCTGCCGGTGCTGATCTTTTACAGTTGTTCGCTCTTCAGTGCAAGTTGGTCATGCTCTCTGCAAAGCTTTTCCTGCAGCACTACACCTCAGGCTACGTGAAAATGCGCCTGTCCACATTCTACAAACACCTCTGTTGCTATGAAAGCCACTTCCTTTTCATTCTGTACAGTTAGACCTGCATATTGTTGACTTTTAAATGGATGTTGATGTTAGTATTTATATCCCGCGTTTCCCGTAGAAACTAGGGCCACTGCCTTGGTGTATTCTACACTCTTGATTTTGGCAACGTCTACCGGAGAGGCTGCCTGAGCCTTTCAGAGGGAACGCGCTGGCTGTGAAGTCCTTTCCATTCTTGCTTTCTATTAGTAATAATGCTCGACTGTCCCCTGTGCTCTTTCCTGTCCTGTGGAAGGATAGGACTAGGGCAGAGTAAGCAATCTTCTTCTCAGCTGCCTTTGGGATGACTAACACTGGTTTAAAATTTGCTGAGTGTTTTCCCTGTCACTAAAGGCAAAGGACGAATTTATACGGCAGTTGTGAGGGCAGATTCATTCAAGGAAAAGCTTTCCGAGTCAATGGGGCTGTCACACGCTGCAGATCAGTAGCGGGACAAACTGGTTCAGGGTGCTGCTATGTTTTCTCAATGAAGTAGCTTAAGTTTTCAGCTGGAGAGATGGCCAGTCCCCGGGAGGCAACAGAGAAGCTACTGTTGGTGTCACTCACGGAGCAGTACAGTCCTGACGATTGTGGTAGATTCACATTAATTGTTGCAACTGGCGCGTGCAGTGACTTCAGCGCCTGTAATGAATGGAGGCAGCGTGGGTCAACGTTTCGGTAGGGCTGTGAAATGCCATTGCTCCCTGCTTAAAAACTGTAACTTCCTTACAGGCCTACAGTGTTTGGCACGCATGCCTCGTGCGGAGCAGAGCTGTGGGGAATGCCGGCGAAATGCTGCAGCCCTCCCTGCTTCTCGTCCCACACCGAATGACACGGGGACTGAAACGGTCGCTCTGACGTCCCGCTGTGCAGGAAGGCACGTTAAATCACGCGTAAGGTTTGGCGGTGATTGATGATAATTGTAGCTTCCTACCTTGCACCTGTAAGAAGGTGCATTTTACCTCTCAGGAGAGTTGGGTAGATGCTCTGAGCAGATTCAGGTAATTCTAGCTGCCCCTGTCTCGGGGAACAGCACTGACTATTCCTTGTTAGAATGATGAAGCTTTGTGCTGAGAGGCTGAGATACACATTTGAATGGATTCTTCTTAAACCCTGAAGTAACAGGTTGGGAATGTCTACACCCATTTGGTAGAGGTGTCTGGAGACTGGACTCCAATCTGTGGTAGTATTTGTGGACTGAGATGTTCATAAATTTGGCCTACTTATTCATCAAAATGAAAAATGCTGACTTTTGTTGCAAAGATAGAGACCCTGGCCTGCCACCTGCTTCACGGAGAAGTGGCTACATGGCCACTAGTGTCTTCTCATCTATGGATGAGATTCTCATCTGTGGGTTCCTTCATAAAGACAAGCAAAACTCAAAATGATTGTGGTAGGTCTACTGCAAGCAAGGCCATTTTGCATCTAGGTTTTACTCATCATTTCAACCAAGGTCATACAGGTGATGTCAACCTATTGCTCTGGGGCAAAGGTAGGAGCATCCATGCAAACATGAGTTTGGGTGTCAGTGCGTGTGGTTGATCATTACGCAGCATGGTGGAGTAGTACTCTTCCCCAGAAAGAGACATACTGGTCCTATGGAGAAATATTCAATACATCTCAGCCAACTAGAGTAGACCTTCACTGGCATGGAGCTCCTTGATTCTTTATCCGTAATGAGACATCTCTTCCAGAATCTGGACTACTTTCTAGCATTAAGGATTCCATAGCTGAGAGGAAAGCAGGTTACAAGTACGTACACTTCACCTCCCTGTTCCACATGTGTAACCACGGAAGGAAATATATGGGAACACACACGTGCTGTTTGCAAAAAAAGAAGAAAAAAGTACCTGCCATCAAGTATACAGAGCACAAGCATACTCTAGGAGAACACGTACGTAGGAAAGCAAATCTCGGCACCAGGCCTGGATGGACAAATACCTCCCAGAGGCTGAAATTACTATTCTGGAAAATGAAGACAAATAGGATCGGGAAAGGTAAGTTTAGGAAGTAGTTACCTACACATACTTGGTAAAATTTCAGTGCTTTTTCACTAGCTGTAGGACATCTTATCCAGTCATCATTATGGAAAAGATACATTTTAAAAATCCTTTGACATAACAACTAAATCTGCTAGAAAAGAAATATATTTGTATTCTATATGTCATACACATATATACTGTATAATGGAAAATTAAGAGAAGACTGTAGTGGTTTAGAGCTAGACCAGGAAAAAGCACTGTCAAAATTAACTTACTGATGGCTCTATTACAAAGATTGGGTTATGACAAAATCTAGAAAAATGTGAAAATAATGAAAAGGGTTTTGCACAGGATTCCATAAAATTAACAAAAGGTACCACCAGAGGGCCCTGCACTAAATACATTGGCCCGAAATAAAGCAGAGCGCTGAGTAAGCTATCCATTCTACTATCATAATCATACAACTGCCATCTTTTCTCTGTGGATAGTCATTAGTAGTCATCATATGGAAGCTAATTCTGCACAGAGTGAATTAGCGATTTGAGGAAAAAGTGAGTAAAACGGCACAAATGGGACATATCAGTGGCTGAGTAATTGTATTGGTGACATTCAGAGTGTGCTAAACTAGTCAGATAAATATGTGATTATGGGTCATCATGACTTTGGGGATACTGTGAGTAGCTGCAGCAGGATGTCAAGCCATCTTACTCCCATGTGGCTTGCTCTACCTCAAACCTTGCTTGTAAGAATTTATCAGAAAGACTTCTTGCTTTCTGCTGGCATTGCTGGGAGGCCAGGACAGCTTTCCTGCACGTAAGTGATGCTGTGCCCTGTCAGAAGCAGCTCTCGGTGTCCTGGAGCACGTTCTGCCCTAGGTCCACCTTTGCTTTGCTCCTCCCCTCACCATCACTGTCTGTTGCCCACAGACATGACCTGGGAACTAAAAGAACGCAAGGAAGCAGTGCCAGGAAAGAGAATGACATTAGAATAAAGAATTCACATTACTGATTATGGAAATCACTAAACAAATTGCCGTGATGTTCGGTCTGACTGTGACTTGAGGCAGCTTCTGCCTCTTGTTGGGGCTTATCTTCTCTGGTCTCCACAATACATTTTATGTGCAGATTGGTCTCCTAGCGTAACTTTAAGCACCGTAGAAGCAAACCCCTGGCCTTCGCAGGCCCCCTTCCAGCCTGAAGGCCTGAGGGCGGTCATGGGCCGGGAGGGGGTGCCCAGGTGAGTGGTGGCAGGCCAGGGGTG